CCTGCTGAAGAGTGGCTGAGGGAGAAGGGGCTCTTTAGCTTGGAGCAGAGGAGACTGAGGGGTGACCTCATTCCTGGGGATCAATTTGTAAAGGGCAAGTGTCAAGAGGAAGAAGCCAGGCTCTGCTCTGTGATATCCAATGCCAGGACAAGGGGCAATGGTCCCAAGCTGGAGCACAGGAGGTTCAAGCTGAAGATGAGGACAAACTTTGTCAGTGTGAGGGTGCCAGAGCATAGCCCAGGCTGCCCAGAGAGGTTGCGGAGACTCCTTCTCTGCAGACACCCAAACAGAATCACAGAATCAGAGAACGTCAGGGATTGGAAGGGACCTCAAAAGATCATCCAGTCCAATCCCCCTGCCGGAGCAGGAACACCCAGATGAGGTTGCACAGGAAGGCGTCCAGGCGGGTTTTGAATGTCTCCAGAGAAGGAGACTCCACAACCTCTCTGGGCAGCCTGGTCCAGTGCTCTGTTACCCTCACTGAGAAAAAGTTTCTTCTCAAATTGAAGTGGAACCTCCTGTGTTCCAGCTTGTGCCCATTACCCCTTGTCCTATCATTGTTTGTCACCGAGAAGAGCCTGGCTCCATCCTCGTGAAACTCACCCTTTAAATATTTATAAACATGAATGAGGTCTCCCCTCAGTCTCCTCTTCTGCAAACTAAAGAGACCCAGCTCCCTCAGACATGTTCCTGTGTGTCCTGGTCTGGTGATCCTGGTCTGGCAAGGGTTGCACTGGGGGAGCTTTCCAGGTCCCTTCCAACTCCTGATATTCTGTGATTACCAAGGCAGCCACAATAAAACCGCCTTATGCAGGAGAGCCTGCTCAGCTTCTTACAGGGCTTGAGAGCAGTTTTAGGACCTTCCCAGAGCTTTCCACTTTCCTACACCACCAGCACCCAACACAAAACTCACTATCAGAGCTCTCATTTGAACCCACTCAGAACTTCCAGCTGTTTTCCGTACCCCCAGCTATGGGAGGTCCTCCAGCAGGTGGCCAGCAAAGCTTTCTCCCGAAGTCAGACAGTGACATAACCACAAAAACACCTGATATTTTACCCCTTTTCACCAGCTTGCAGTACTAGAAATGTGCATTTAATATGATTGCCATCAGGGACCCCATAGAAAGGTGCAAAAGAACCCAGAATAAAAAAGTTATACAAATGACTTTATAACTCACTTTTTCTCTCAACAAAGCTACATATCTTAAAATCAGTTATTCACATGAAGAACAGATGTCAGAGTAATAAATACAGCGTAGGGAAGAGGGAGTCCCAGGACAGCAGCCAGGGATTTGCTCGGTAAAAAGCATCTAAGAGTGTTTACTTCTTGGTCACAACCTGCACTGCAGAGGAATGCAGGATCAGAAGGACGTGTAGAAAATCCACTCTTTAATCATGACTTTTGCAGCATATAACCCCTCTTAAACTATACACGTGTGTCATTTTAACACACTATATACACTCCTGATTAGTGCAGAGCATTAAGTGACATTTCAGAGTATTATTTATTAGCCCCTTTTTAGGGCTATGGCCAATTTCTTCAATTTGTCAGATGCTTTTCTTCCTACCATATGCTTTCTGTTAGAAAGGTTGTCTTTGAAAATAGGCCCAAATCACAGTGGTTAGCTTGGCTTTTTTTTAATATATCAGTTTCCATTGCTAGAACTAAACATCATCTCTTTGTGCACCTAAAATAACTTTGCATCAGATTAGCCTTTTTCAGTAAGCAAAGGAGCAAAACACCTTGACAGTGGTCCTGGAGAGCAGGAGAGAGCATCAGCTTTAACAGCTACATGGATGTGTTGGCCCATGATACCACAATTATTTGAGACTTGCTAAAATATCTTTGTAGTTAGGTAAAGAGATGTAAAATGGCTATTGAGAACACAGAACATATTTCCTGGGAAATAAAAGTTAAAAAAAAAAATCATAAAGTTAATTAAAATCTGTTATGTAGATGCCTGGTTTAATTAGGTCTGCAATGTACAAGAAAATATTCCTATTACAAAAGTGAAGGGGAGAAAACAGAAGTTACACTTTAGAATCATAGCCAAATAACACCAACAATTAAAGATTGTTATTAAGACTGCTACAAAAAACAGCTAACCATCTAAGGGTAATTTGGGTTGTGTAACGTATAACGCACCTAAGGGCAAAATTCCATCCCACCTAAGTTACACCTAAATTAGACGTTCAGTGAAAACCAACCTCCTCCATCTGAGATGGGGATAGAGATAGGCTGACTGGCAGCAGGTTCCCTCACCCTGTAGATAGCCAGAATTCAGAGGTTGCTGCCCTGCACCCCATTGCACCCACCTTTCCTTTCAGCTCAGCAGTTGTCTTTGAACCCCATTTGGGATCATGTCCTACCCAAAACAAGGCACCGACTGCCATTTTGTCCCTTTTCCCTGGAGAAGGTCCCCACCATCTTCCCCCTTGGTGCTCTCCTACTACAGGACCAAGGAAAGCCCAGGAAGGCAGGCACTGTCGCACCGGTCACCAAATCACAAAGGGTCTGATCAGACAGAAAGAGTCACAACAATCCCATGTCTACATATTATTTTTTATTATGCACTTTTGCTGACAGATACAAAAATTTGGGGAAGTAGATAAAGGAAAGACAGGGAGAGAGCAATAGTTCCCAGGTTTTCTGATTGAAAACCATTTTTGGTCACACCTTCTCAAAGGAAAGCAACAGCCTGTGACAGAGAACTGATGGAAACCCACAAGGAGATGAGCCTCAGTAGGAAAGGCAGCAATGACAATATGTATAGGACAGGAGGATAATGAAAACAGTGGGCCAAACCTTCTGAGCATACTCCAGGCATTTACAGGAGTCTTGTGTTGATGTAAAAGATTCTGAAGATGGAAGAAATACTACAGATGCAAATTGAAATTGCAATTTTGTTCAGATGACTGCAAGAGTACATCACGTGAGTCAGATTCTAACAGAAGACTAGAAGATATTCAGAAAGGACTGGAAAAAAGTGCTTTTACATTTAAAGCCCAGAACATAATGACTTTCAATTTTCTATCATGTGATAAGAAATGCATCAAGGCACAGGACAGATGGCCAAATCAGGGAACTCAGGGGGATGGGGCCTGCTTTCAAAATCCCACAGCCCTTCAGAGCGTGACGGTGTGACAGGCAATGCAAAAATACAGGTGGATCGCCCAAACTCTTGGTGTGGGTGAGGGCTTTATGGTATGAGACAGAGAAAAGTAGCAGCAGGGAGGGCACCTGATGCTCCGTGAACTAATTCAGGGAAGAGGAGCAAACAAAATCTATCAGAAGGCGTACTCTGGACTCCAGCAAAGCCAACCTGAAGACTAACTGATCTTAGAGGAGTGAGCACAAACTCTCCTAAAGCAGAGGGAGAAACAGGAAGGTGTCAGGAGAAACAGGCAAAATCCGAGTTCTTCATTAATCCAGAACCGAGTAAAGAATTGTACAAAAAAGCAGAATTGATACCAGAATTTACTAATGATTTAAGAAGCACAAGCACGCACAGGCGATGGACCAAGACTGTGATAGCAAATTACCAGCTGATACACTTACTGTTACTTTTTATGATAGGAAGGAGAGGAGGTAGGAAGGAGACTGCTTCTTTGTGAAGATCTTGATCTATCTTTGCTCATTATTCCCCTCAACTAATTTATGTTGCTTAGTCTAGCAAAAAGCACATGTTATAAACATCACAACTATAGCTCACAAAACTTGGGGGGAAAAGGTCAATCATTTCTCAGGTTCAACAGCAACAGAATCAAAATAAATCCATGCTGGGCTGAACTGCAGTGAGAAGGATTTGGATTAGACATTTTTAAATCTTTCCAGTGATAAGAATATATGCAGCTTCTTCTAGTGCATAAGAAGGTTGTAAATGCTCAAAGATTTCTTTCTTTGTTCTAAAAAACAGGTTAGACACCTGTCTTTGTGCTGGTGGTACCTTTCTAAGCAAATAGGAACAATATAACCTCATGAGATACCTTTCACAGAAGGCAGGATACAAAGACATCAAGAAAACACTGACATTTCTAAAAAAAACAATAATTCCCCATCTGGGTATGGCTTTCTATTTCTTAGTCACTGCTGTTTCTGAATGTTACTCTTAACACAAAGATTTATCTCTGTGTGCAAGGCAGTGTAAAAGCAATTTAACAAAGACAGTACAATAAACGGCAGTGTCTTAAAACAGTTTTTCCCAGGTATCTCATCAAGGAAGACAAAAGCTGATGGATACCTTAAAGATTCTTGTTTTCAGCTTCTGACGTTCTCAGTGCCCTTGGGACAGAGTCACTACTTGGCATCTTACTAATAAAAAAGTCATAAAACCAGAGGGGAAAGTAGCAGAAGATGCAGAGGAGCAGATAAGACCTCTTGCCGGGGGTGTACAGGCCGTGTGGTCTCTTGGCCAGCAACGCGTGCAGGATGGCAGCCAGCACAGGAGACAGGTTGGCGTCACAGAGGGCAGACATGATCGGGAAGTTGCTCTTCAGCCCCAGGAGGTAGTCCTCACCATAGTCTTGCCTTGTGTCTGCCGGGAGGTTCTCCATCAGCTCTTTTTCTTGCTTATCCCATAGCTCAGGTGTGCCCAGTATACCTGCAAGAGCAACATCACAGCACAGCAAGTGGGTTTGAGGCTGATTTAAAGAAAAAATAATTATTAACTGTCAATAAGTCATTCTCCACCATCACCCTGATTCAGTTGTTCTAAGGTGGGTCAATGAAGAACAGACAAAAACAGCTGGTTAGCTGCAAGTGTTTTACCTGGAAGAGAAGGGAAAGCACAAAGCAGAAACTACATGAAAAGCATGGGGTTTATGCACCATTTGGTTACCAGCTCTACCTAAAAAAGGCACCCTCAAAGCCAAGTCAGCATTTTTCTCCCCTTCCCATTCTGCCTTTATTTAATTTGTGGGTGTTTTTAATCAGTATTTACTAACAGATGCAAGTGACTGAGGAAAGACAGGCAAACTAAGATGAATAGGATTTCCTTGGGTTGGTCAAGTTACATATATATATATATAAAACAGTAGTTTCATGAAGGAAAAGGCTTGCATTAGGCCAGAGATTTTTTAAAAGAAAGTCTATTTTTTTTTCTCCACACCTGTATCATGTAAGAGTGAAAGAAGTGGCTTTCCCAATGCATTTATTGCTTAACTATCAGGAATTGAGCATCGCAAATCAAGAAAAACTTTTAAACATTTATTTAAATCTCAAACACCAGGACTTGTTTTCATGCATGAAGTTTTCATCCAGAATTCTGACAACAGCTGATGGAGACCCTAGAGGTAAAACCTCCGTCAGGTACTGCTGAGCACATGGATGCTGTCAGAAGCCAGGGACCCTCCTCAGGAGAGGAGACATCCAAGGGAGCAGGGTTTTATGAGGGGAAAAAAAAAAATAATTGCTTCTCATCAACATAAACCTTGTCCCCATGAAGCCACCAGGACTTGCTGAGCGGGCAGCAGTAGAGTTTGATGTTATCCTCAGGTAGCTGCCAGGCCTGTCCACAGAGCAAGGACCTGTGTGACATCCACCCTGCTCCTGGGTGGCTGCAGGGTGCAGCAGGGGTGCATGGAGCAGGAGGTGAGTCTGTAACCCAGACGGGCTCTGCAGAAAGAGCTCAGAGCAGTGGAAGGAGGATTTATGACAGAAAGCAGCAGGAGCAAAGCAAAGGGAAGAAGTGGAGAGGAAAGCTCAGGACTATATAGGGTAATATTGACAGCAAGTAAGCAGGCTGACAAGTATTGCTGCAGACACTTCAATGCAAGACTGAGCTGCTCAATAAAGAGAGCTCTGATATTGAGAAAGATAGGACTGACAGCAGAGGGAAAAGCACCAACTACCTGAGCAGTGCCAGTGTCAGAGCAGAGAGAGCTATCCCCTCCGCCCAGGGGAAAGGCAGAGGCAGGCAGTGTGCAGAACTGGAGGAAACATCTCTGCCAAAAATGCAGATCTTAATTTCCATAATCAACGTGAAGAATGGGAAAAAAGTCCGACTGCTGAGAATCACTCAGGGCTCTGTTTGGGGATGTTGGACTACAGGCAAAGAGGCAAAAGAACTACCTGAAATGTCAAACACCAACCTGTTCGGAAGCCTGATGGATGAATTGCAGCCACTTTAATTCCCCATTTGGAAAGCTCTTGCCTCATTACTCCAGAAAACATGGACAGAGCTGCTTTTGATGCACCGTATGCAGCCAACCTCTGTAGTGGAATGCCTCCTGCAGGAGCAATATAAACATGATAAAGCTTAACGGTCGCTCTTTCCAACCTTTATTTGCGTTATTTAGAAGGAAGATTATAGCACAACCAAAATTATGCGGCTGTTACTGAGGTTAAACACATGTCAGTGAGAGAATCATTTCTTTCCGGAGGTTAAAAAAAAGTGAAATTTGTAAATTAGCAGTTGCTTGTAGCAGTTATGCTCAGTAACACCTGATAAGACACCTTATATGGCAGAAAACAGAGTGCACTGCATTTAAGAGTAAAAACTGCTGAAAATTATTACTTGGTTTCAGAAACACAGATAATATTTTAGTTCATATAAACAGTGAAGCAATAGTTTAATGCTGCTGTTCTTGTTGTCACTGTAACATGAATTTCAAGCTCCCACTATAAACCACAGTTACAACAGCATAAGTAATCTCAATTCTACCTTTATAAGGCCAGTTTATCTTCCATCTCTTTCCAACTAGTTTCAGAAAGACCAGAGACAACAGTGCAAGGGTGGGGAAAACCTCTGTGGACAAACCAAAGCTGGAATCACACCCCCCAGGCAACAGGGCTTGCTGAGACTCATCAGGGAAGCAGATTCCCCATGGTTATACCCTGTCTTCTCCAATCTCAGCAGCATTTGTTCAGATGAGATAGAAAACAGCCAGTATTTTAGGTGAATTTAAAATAAATCCATACGTTTACAAAACCAAAGCTTCCAGAAAATAAATCTCTTCCGAATACAGAGATCTCTTCTGTTCCAAAAACCAGCAGATTGTCACTTCTTCAGCTTTAGAAAAATCCAAAGACACTTTTATTTCCATAGGATCCCCTTCTTCAGTACCCTGTCTTTCTCCACAAGGTTGGTGCTATCACTGCACCAAGTATCACTGCCAGATTCAGGGACATCACAGTCACCATGGGCTGTGTTGGCACTGCAGGGAGGAAGGACCAGAGCAGGCAACTCTTCTCCCTGGGACATGTCACTCCTGGCTGCACAGGCACTCAGGCACGTCCTCTAGTATGGCCTCCATTTCAAACGTTACGCATTTATGTCAATGTATTTGAATCTTTTAAAAGAATGCTTCGATACAGGGGAATTTTCAGGTAAACCACTGGTGCATTTTATTGAGTATTTTGTACTGCAATGACCAAGGTAGCACAGGACCCTCTTGCACAGTCTTTGAAGAAGTCAGGCCAATTATATGTTAATTATTCTTCTGTATGCATCTGAACAAGCTTGAGTTTCAATTGGTTTGAGCCAGTTGACTCACACGCTCTTTCTGTCTGAGGTCAGGCTAACCTCAAGTCAGTTAAATTAGCTCTACACAGACAGGAAGAGATTTGGCACAACGAGACCTCACTAACTTTTCTAATGTTTTACCAAAGGACCCTCAGACCCTGTGTTTAGAGGAAGCTATTTACCCAAACCAGCGTGTGTGGGGGAACACCTGTGCGAACAACTATAGTTTAAGCAGAGTCATTATCAACTCCTGTAAGGACAAAGTGTTCAGGACAGGGAAGGCCATCATTTATTCCTGCAAGGCAGCTCAGGGGTTCATGCCAAGTATTAAGACATTTGCCCCAAAACACTGAAAGTGCAAGCTTCACTTGGGTGCTCAGAGAAAACAGACGTCTGTCCACCATCTCTGTGCTTGCAAGGGCTGGTGGGCAGAGCAGCACCAGAGAGATCCTTCTGATAATTCAGTCCTGATTTCTTTAAGGGTCAGCAGGTGTGCAGACAAAACATACTTGGGATTATAAAAAGAAAACAGAAGACAACAGTGTCAAAGCTGGGCTGAGGCTGCACCCTCAACATAAGCCATGAACACAAGGTAACACCTTCACAAGCCACCCTGGCAATACAGCAAGATTCGGGTGGACACCAACTGCACAGAAGTAAAGGTCCAAGCAGACAGGGCAAAAGAAAATTTGGGAAGCAGACAATACGGTAAATCCTTAAGAAGTCTTAAACCAAAACACTTTTTGGTACCATGACATCCTGCTCCTAGCAGGTCTCATTTTCAAAGCAGCATTCTTGCTTCTCAGCTCTTGGCTACCAGAGGCTGTATTACTTCAGTTCCTACATCTTAGCACCTCAGCTGTCCTCCTAGGCTAGAAGGTCAAGTTATGAAGGCATAAATAGTAAGCACAGGATCCAATTTATGAGACAAAACTGGAAAGCATATTATATGCTGTTAAAAATCTCCTAGAAGTTATTTTATTCATGAAAACATTACCACTTTGCTAATCAGTTAGGCTAAAGTATTTTTAAGAAGATATAAAAAATATTTTTAAAGAAATATACATTCTCTTCAGGTTCCAGGTTATTAGTCAGACCATGCTCTATGGAGCAAGGGTGGAGAGGTGGAGCTGCCCAAGTGAAATATCTGACATTTATTACAGATTGTTACAAGTGACAAACTTCATGAACTTACCCAAAAGACATTTATGCTCAAATCTTAACACAAACTATTAAAAAAGGTTGAAACTTTAGGGGTAAGCAGACCAAATGCAAGAAAGCCTCACTCTGCAAAAGGCAGGCAGCTTTCGGGCATCTCCACTGTGTGGTTCAATGACACAGGAAGGTGTGTCACAGACTTCTGATGGAATATGTTATAGAAAAATCTGTGATTTACCACTCGTCTTTCCGGAAGCTCACAAAGCTATCACTCATAGCATCTATAACACAAGATCTGAATCTTACTGTCTTTTATGTAGCAGCATATTTTTAGTCATATTAAACTTTTTTGTTTAAGGGTTGTTTTCTGGAAATAGTCTCCCAGACAGAAGAAAAACCTGCATTTATTACCTAGCTATTAATTCCCTAGGTGTAGTGACAAGCAAGCTGACAGACACCTTCCTTGGCACTTTTGCCAAGGAAGTTAGTTGTTTTTCCCATTGCACCAGAAGTTTATTTTGTGCTTTCGTTCAGCTCACCTGCCATGCTGCACACGTTAACCAGCCTCCCCCGGCATTTCCGAAGTAATGGTAAGAAGGTCTTGGACACCTCTACAGCCCCAAAGAAATTGACCTCCATGCACTGCCTGTACATGCCCATGGGGAGCAGCTCACCGTCAGCGGGGAAGCCCAGGATGCCCGCATTGTTCACAACGCCCCAGAGCCCTAGGAAAAGGAGAAAGCACAGCACTGCCAAACAGCAGGAAATCAACTCCATAAAGACCGATGGTGCCTCCAGATCAAAGTAGAGATGATCTGCAGCTACAGATACAGCACCAACTCCACGAACAGGCATCACCACTTATGTCCCAGAAAGCAGGAGTCATCAATATAAGTACCCTGACAGCCCTCAGCCTGTGGCATGGAAACGACCTACACACGTAAGCTATGGTGCAGCCAACAGTTAAGAGATGCACCTTGTAAGCAGCTACATTAGTACTCCCATTATAATGGGAAAAAAGCCATACCTGTATTTTGCACCTTCTCTGAGACTTTTAGATAGGCTTCCTTGACTTGGGTGGCATTGGTTATATCCAGCTGCAGGACAGAGAGTCTCTGAGAACAGGTCCGCCTCAGTTCTTCAGGTCCAGGTCCATCTTTATTCAAAACCCCAGCAAATACAACAAAACCCAAGTTATCCAGGTGTTTAGCCAGTGCATGTCCAATCCCAGTGTCACTTCCTGAAAGCATCAGAAAGACACTTGAAAAGTTAGTCTGTCATAAACCATCGTTAAAAAAAAAACCATGCATTGGAAATACATGCAAATGCAATCATAAAGACCATGAAATAAAGTCACTGAAATACACACGACAGTAGGAATAAAAGTTCACATCTGAAGGTTTGAGGAGCTGGATCTTCGCGTGTTCCACAAACACTGATAGACCATGTCCTCTTGGCACAGAGCTGATGGTATCAGCTCATCTCTACCACTGACAGAGTCTAAGACTGACTTCTAAAACCTTCGATTGGGTTGCTACAAATATGCAGACTGAAACCTGATAACAAAAAATATAGGAAAAACAAAAAAAAACACCAAGAAAAGCCACAGAAATATTTTAATTTGAAATCTCGGATGGACAATCAATTACATGGCATTGGAATTCAAATTGCTGGGGTCTATTTTTAAATTCAAAGCAGCAGCATTATTTTAGTCAAACATCAAACATTCAAAATCAAACATCTTATTTCATTCGAACATACCACACAGATCCTTCCAATAAGCACTTTTTCTGTCACAGGCTGCAACTGTATCTTGACCTGCAAAGGAGTTCAACGCTTTCAAACCCTGAGAAACCTTCAGAATGGCAACTTTAGGCTAAACCAAATAGCACCAGCTATTTAACTCATGCAAACTTGCATCAGAATTTCCGTTATCCTCTCTTTCCTCCTCAAGAGAATTATTCACTAACTTTGTCCATGTAAAGCAATTAGATTGATTCATGTGCCTCTCCCTTTGACACAGTATTTTGCTGCTGCTATCTTAAAATACTTTTAAGTGTTCTCTCTCCTGGTGTCTTTTCAGATTCCGGTTTCCATTCTTCCCACCTACAGAGAAACTTCTTAGTGAGGGAGGTCCATCCATCCTATCCATCTGCCCACCAAGAGTCCCAGTGAAGTGACACAGGGCTCTGCTAGAGGCAGGGAAGGAGTTTATAAGGATTGTGCTGCAGGAGTTTTGCAAAGGGAAATGAGAAGTTTAAGAAATCAATGCATTTTTTAAAGCGCAGAGACATATGCAATAGCAATGTATTACATAAATGCTCAGCTTCCAAACTCCCACACATGGCTGGAAACCAGAACATGGGACAAAGGTCTGGGTCTTCTGCCAGTTTTTTACTATTTCCTCATTTGTGAGAGAGCTACGACACTTCCTACTTAACACTGCCACAAACTTAGGAGGGTTAATCTGTGATTTCAGCACTTTGAGGCTGACATTACCACAGTTATTCACAGGCCTGCTCCTGCATTCAAAATCCACAGTCAATACAATTTGACTGTCAAAGAGACTCCTCTTAATCATGTTAGAACATCATTTCTGTCTTTTAACTGGGGTCTGAAGGGTGAAAAATACTAATTCCAGGTGACTCGAAAGAAACACACGCTAAATGCCGAGATCGATCAGTGCAAGACGTTGAACAGAATTACTCACGCTCTACTTAATCCTTTTTAAAAAAAAATCATTTTGGCATTTCTGAAGTCTGCAGTTTGTTGAAGCAGCACCAGAACACCACATACATCACACTCAGCTTCTCGCAGCCCTGACTTGAACAAGAAGAGAAGAACAAATGTGCGTTCTTGGAATTCCCTTTTGTTGACAGGGAGGCCCGCAAATACCCCCAGGACATGACAGATTTCTGGGTGTGGGGGTGGGGTGTCGTTCCTTCTTTTTCCTGTCACTAAAAACCACTATTTATGGATCAAATTCTTCCCCTTTCAGCCTTCCCAGCAAGTACAAAGCCACAGAGCTATTTATTACTTAAGTTTTACAACACAGCTTTAACTCGTGAAGGGGCAGAGTGCTCAACAACTAGGGAAGGAAACTCCAAAAAGGAAATAAAAAGCAGAGTTCATCTGTGCCTGCCACTGGGTTTGTCCCAGCTTTCATCAAAATAAGTCTGATTGGAGTTTCAGATCTGTTACTGAAGTCCAGAGAAACTTCACCCTTCAACTGAAAATTCAAACACTGGTTAGGTCTCTATAGGCAAGAGACCTTGCTTCTGTGTAAATAAATAACACTTTGTGAATTATGAGATTTATTATAAGAAAGGCAGTTTCTACTGACTGTAACTGAATCATTACTGAGAATTTTTCAAATTTATCAATTTATCGTCAACTCACACTGAGCATCAGAAATGTCAAGTAACACATCAAGAATGAAAATACCAAGTTAACTGGAGAAATTAATTCCAGTGCACACAAAATAAATGAGGCAAGAATTTCATTACAATCCCTGCAACTTCATATCTTCATGATAACCTAATGTTTAGGGATGGCTGTTGGGTCTACCAAACTACCCGAAAGTGTTTACATGCCCAGGGGCTTCTGTTTAAGGACACTAAAGCACACTCTTCCAGCAAGAAAATCAATAGAAATGTATCACCAGTGACTAAGACTGCTCATGTCCACAGTTATTCATACAAAAAAGCATTTTGATAACTGTGTGCAGCTTTCCCTTATCATGGTACTCCAGTGAACCGCCAGTTTAAATAAATAACACAGAGCGGCACCCATACATGGGACATGCAAAGAGGACCAGAACAACATTTGACAAAATTCGTCAGGGACAGACAGCGATTCCTCCATCCTCTTCCCAGAGGCAGCCAGCGCTCAGGTGAAATGTGGCAGCTGCACAGAGCACAGCAGCATTCCTCAACCCCACAGGGCTAAAAGAGGTGGGAAAGAAAATAAATCACCATTTGCCATAAAGTGCCTGCCTCAGATCTTGTCTGAACTGGAGAAAATGACACCAAAATTGATTTAAAGGTGCCTTGCACCTGAGGCACGCACACATCCAACAATTGGTAAAGAGAGGGGTACTACACTCAGAGCAATTTAACCAAGAAATGCATTGAGTAAACCTTTCATTTCAGTTGATGGAGGGTTTGATTGATTGCATGTAAGTCTGGATTCAAATAAAGACCAATAGGAGCCTCCTCGGACGTGTCAGCCCACAGAGGAGTCCAGACCAGCACCTCTTCAGGACAGTTGCAGCACAGGTACAAAGCAAGCACATTCACTTACTGGAACATACCCAAATGCTCCTTGCTCCCCTATACTGCTCTAATGCAAATTTTCTAGAGCAGGCAAGCTCTGAGTGTGCTCTTTTCTGAAGAGCTGCATTCTTACAAAAGTAAGTAAATGTCCAGGTGCAACTCCTGTATCTGCAGAGGTGGGAAAGGAGCCCTCCCTGTTTTCTCCTGCCCGATACCCATCATCTGAGACACCTGCAGAGAGAAACCCAGCTGGCAGACAAACTGGGAGGGGAGAACTTGCTGCTCACCTTGTCCTCTCTTAAGTTTTGTATTTAACCCTTGTATTAATGCTTGCTAGGCAAATCTAAATTATTTCCAGGTGTCCCTATAAAACAAATTGAAATTCTGCAAGAAATAGCTATAAAACCAAAGCAATTTCATTCAGCTTTCCAGAGGGGGGAAAATAGAAAATAAAACAAAAAAAAGAGCAAGTTAATAGTGCAAGAAGCTTTTGGCAGGCACTCTGGTTTAAAGGTTTGATTAACACAAACAAACAACATTTAAAGTTTTAAGAGAAACAGGAGAAAAGCCATAAAAGTACAAAAATGCCATTCCTGCAAACTAAAAGTGGAGTTTGAGTAGATCAAAGTGTTAATAGAGACCGAATTCATTCGCTCTGAACTTACACTGCTAGTGAAGGAAGTTACTCACTCCCAAATAATTTCATACATAGTTTCAAAGAGACGGCACCAAAGCAGTGTCTCGAGATATCTGCACGATATACACAGTGTGCACTGTGTAAACATGCACACCAAGAGATAACCGTACATCCATAACCACTGCAATGAAATCAAGGGAACAAAGTGATGTGTGAGTATAGCATTCTGAGGACTCCCAGAAATAAATGTCTCTCCTAAAAAAAACAGACATCGTAAGTGTTCTTACTCTTTTTGCACCAGTTAATTTCGCAAGTACACCTTAAAAGCTACTTGTAAAGATTAAATGGGATACTAAAAAATAACAGCATCTATTATTGCTTTTCTACCTTCTTTCAGAACATTTATTTCCTAGGAAAAAAGCATCTCTAACAAAGCAAATAAAACAAGGGAATAAAAAAAAAAGGGCAACTTTACAAGCATGCATTTCAGACATACCTAACCTGACACCAAGATTCCCAACCAGTAGTGAGAAAAGCCAGAGTTTGCTTTCCAGAGTGCATCTGCAGCATCTTACCTGTGATGAGCACGGCTTTGTCACCCACAGGCAGCAGCGCCCTGCCACCCAGGAACACGGAGGAGACGAGGCTCCCAACACAGAACACCCCCAGCCCCCCGCCAGCACCCAGCGTGGCCACGCACAGCAGCCCCAGCAAGGTGAGCAGGAGGCTCCAGAGCAGCACGTTTACTTTCCCCATCAGGCTTCTGTCGGCCACGTAGAGCACAATTGCCCCAAAAAGCAGGGTGATACCCACAGAGAGCCATCCAAGGGGACTATCCACAAGAGCATCCATTGTCAGGGGCAAAAAGCAGGCACGCACACCCCACCACCAGCTGAGTAAATGCAGGTGTTGCTAACTACAGCATGTGTTATATAGGAGCAGGGGGTGGGGCAGAGAAAGGGGACTCTGTTTAAAGGTTTGACATAATCTCACTTACACTTGGCATCAGCAAGAAGCAAAAAGCTTTCCTTTTTTTAACCTTTTGTTCCTTCTGCCTGACAGCTCCACCTTCTGAACAATACGCTGGCTGGATAATGATTGACAGCACTAGGAATGGACATGATGTAGCAAGCACTGCCTTCAGGAAAAAATTAACTGCTATAGGTTTTAGATGTTTAAAGTGCATTTTCCTTTCTGGGAAACAGTTGCAATTCCCTGCCTAAAAACTTAAGAGTGTGGTTTCAGTGGAACTAAATAGTGAACAAAAATAAGTCAGGACAGCGTTACTTACTCTCTGTAGTACAAGCTGTGTGGTTAGAGTTGGGTTTTATCACACATGGGCCACATTTCTTTTTCAACAAAAAATCCCAAATTACCTTCCCTGCTTCAGTGCACACCTTTGGCTATTTACCTGCTCCAAATGCAGTGAATGCCTATGGATCACTGACATTCAAGGGCGGGTGGGAGACTGGGAAGGGGTAGTTGTTGGTTTGGCATTAAGGGTGCTTTGTTAAGTGATCACACGTAACCCAGCACTGACATTAACCTTAGTTTTATAGGAATTGGTGGTTCAATACTGACAGCAAGTTGTAAAAAAAAAAAAAAGGAATTCATATAGCTACATTTGAGAGATGTAACATTTACTGTGATGTACTCTGGAAGTTACCTAAACAGTGAGAAAAGACTATTTTAAAATCCATCCAGCTAAAAGGGTTGAAATACAATTTAGGTATATTTACCCCTGTTTAAAAATCCCTGCTAATCAGTTTGAGAGACAAGCGTAAGTTATCACACAACCAGCTAACATGATGCAGCACATCTTTTGAAGGAAAATACACTGCTGACCAATTTTATTTTAGACAGACACTGCAAGACTGATGTGCAGGGTGACAGCCTAACATGAGCCACAAGCACATTTCCACTCTGTTCTTCCCTTGGAGTTATATGGGGTGAGAAATCCATTGGATATACGTTTTCACATCCAGTGAAAATGTTTACATACCTCTATAGGTAGCTTACATTAGAGATGAGGTAACTGTCTGAAAGGAACATTACCCTTGAGGTCTGCTTGTCATTCATGACTATTGTGAACTCCCATTTGTCCACCCTTCCAAGAGTGCACAAAGTGTAAATGACTTTCACTTCTCTTCACGGTTTGCAGCTTCTGCTTATTAAAAGCAGCATACTGGTTTAAAGGTCAATTATACCTTATCCTACATTAAGGCATCTTCTAAAATTTTCCTTGGAGAATTTTGCTTTCTTTCCC